TACAAAACTAAAAGGGGGTGGTTCATCGATAGTTACCATTTTAGCATATATAAGTCTACATGCTTCCTAACTAAAGCCAATAATCAGAAAATTACTCACACCACCTTGAGATAGTTTATTAAAACCTGAGATTTTTGTCTTGTCTTCCACTCTTCCATGATACTTCTTACAATGAGTAACCAAATGAGTCCTCAAAGTACTTGTCTCACACATCTTAGCCTTACCAGCATAAGACTGCCCACAATATTTGTACTCACACAACATCTTCCGCTTTGGGTCTCCTATTGTGAAATGATCCCATACATGCAAAGTTTTCCTATTATTTTTTCATTTTCCGAAACATGAAGGTGAAAGTGGAGGATACTGTACATGTTGTTGGGGTTCTACCAATAAATTCAAATTATTCATCAATATCCAAATTCAAATTTGCACAAAGTATGATGTCTATTGATCTCAAGGAAAACACGAGAATAGAAAAGCAACTTCATAAGCAAAATAAACAACATGCATGCAAAAGATAGCCATGAGAGACCTAAGACACATTTACCTCATTTATATTTCGATGCTCTTTACAACAATAAACGGATAGAGTATTTAATAATGCCAAAAGAAGTTAAAACAAAATACAAACTTAGGAGGGGGGCATAACATATAGCCTAACCTCCAATCAATGATAAACACAGAGCAGCACAATTACCCGCTCAGGTGGACACATGCCTCAGTTTAGATAAATTTTTCATCCAATTATAAAATCTTGGAAACAGATTTATACTTTGAGAAAAGAACCTTCAGCAACTATGCCTGACCAAAAGAAACCATTTAAGAAATGATATGGCGACTGCAAAATTATCACAGATATCATTATATTTTATTTAACTGGTTAACAAGGCAAAAGATTTGTATTACCTAAAAAATGGCACGACATTACTATCATGCAAGCAATCTAACTCTTCAAAATGAGTAGAACCAATTCAATAACCAATATGGCTCGGATCTCCAATGTATTCTGCAATTTGTTCAAGCCGAACATTGAGAAACTCATGTGTGTCCGCATCCTGAACTAAACCCATCTCCTTCTCCAAATCTCGCTCCTGCAAACTCCCGTACACACCCTTGTGCCTACCATACAAAACTAGTACTTTGCCTCCACGTTTTGGAACCGCAGTCTCCAATAAGTCTTGATCCACTCCTTGTACCAACTCCCCACTCTCATCCATTGATATATCACAAACTCCAGGTCCCACAACATCTGTCACCACCCCATTTTTCAAGTACAATCTCCCATCCTTCAATGTCTCACTTACTATTCTCACCCTAATATGATTCGTCAACCAATTCACTTTCTCACTACCTATTCTTTCTTCTTCTCGACTCCTTTTACTTGAAGAACTTTTATCATTACTTTTTTTCTCTTTAATCTTCAACTCCTTTAATTTCCTTAAGCACTTCTCCTCCTCTGCGGAACCCACCTCCACCACATCTTTAACATACACCTTCACCTTCTCCTCGCTTCTTGACATCCTCAAGACCAATAAATCTCCACCATTTCTCACATCAACAATTTTACCCTTCATCCCTATCTCGCTCCCTTTCACTATCCTCACCTCTTTCCCAACATCAAACCCTTTCTTTCCCTTCCCATCCTCCCTCTTATTCTGCCTGACATCTCTCCTCCCAAAAACTTCACCAACATTACTGTTATTACCATTTTGATTGTCAGGTAATTCCCCCTCACCAGCTCTTTTTTTAACCTCAAGAATCTTAGTATCCTCCTTGGCATTGCGACCAATGCCCCTGTCCTTAATCCACCCATACCCCGATAGCAGTGCTGCACCGAAGCCCTCCACGGGCATATCCGTATATTCATCAAACCCAGTATCATCTGGTAACTTTGCCATATCCTCCCTCAACTTCCTCAACTCCAAGTCCGAAATTGGAAAATTCGATTCTTCACCGCAATCATCTTCAGAACCACCATTAACACCGGACGGTTTGCGAAGATTGAGTCCGTAAGCCATCGGATTATCAGAAGAATCAGGATTCCTATCAGGCACAACCTCAAATTGGAGAGTTTTTTCGCCGTCAGACTTTAGGGAGGGAAGATTGGGTAGGTTTTTGAGTTTTTTAGTGGGACGCCATTGGTTGGGAATAGGGGGAATGGATTTCGATTTTGAATCCGGATCCACCGGAGCTTCAGCCGAGTTGAATTCTGTTACATAGATTTTGGCGGACGAATCTGCGGTGGACGGCCCAGCATCGGCGACGGAGAAGGATTGCGAGGGCTTTTTAGAGCGATTGGATTGGGATTTTGAAGGAAGAGAAAAAGAGAGCTTCATATTAATGAATTAAGAAAAAAAATCTTGTTTGCTTTTAGCAGGCAAATGAATTCAGAATAAAGAAGAAGCGAAATCCTAGCTTTGATTCCATGATTTTTCAAGCGAAGTCAGAGATTTGAGATGTGAATTCAAGGCTGAATTGGGGAAAATTGGATGAGAGTGGTAACAATCAACGTCAACCCCTCTAATTTCAAGAATTTCAAAGACACCCCTAAAGTTTAATTTGAGTAACATATTCCTCTTTCACTACTTCAGTTTTAACGCATGTTTTACGGTTGAAATTTTTTTATCAAGTGCATAAAATATTTCCTTTTAAATTAACTTATTCTTACTTTATGCTTCAGGGTTTCGACGTAAAGGTTATTGACGTTTTTTAAAGTGTCGATTTTGAGGGTTTATAAGTGATTTTAGTAACGGTTTTTTAAAATTTCAACCCCATGCTTGGGAATTTATTATCCATCGATTTTGAATTTTTTTTTTAAAAAAAGTAAAATTAAGCATATGTCATAGTGAAATTTTTAGTTCATAGTTTTTTATATATGATTTTTAAGGATGGCAAAAAAATATGTTCAACCCGATACCCATGAGATTCAACCTTGAATGGGGCGGGGATTACCCTCCTAATCCGGTAAACGAAGTGGGTAAAAACTCTAGGACCCAACCAATAGTTTTCACTATAGACAATAAGAACTTATAGTAGGATCCAGCCTAGAAAACCCATTAAATTTGTTGATCTAATTCTTGAAATCTCAAAGACTCACTGGAACGTGCTTCACTCACACCTGCTCCCGATCTTTTGGAATTATCTATATCATGTGGATCACCAAGAACACCTTGTTCTGGTACTCTTCCCGTGCTTCTAGTCCAACATCTCTCAATTTTCAGCAACCTCTGAAAGCTATTGAAAAAGTACATTCCTTATGATATCTAGGAAGTGTGTGTTTTGGATTATAAGAATTCGATATTTTTCCCAAACTTGTGGTTGAATGATCTCAAGAATCAAAAAGCTAAATTCAATCTTTGGATGTGTTCTTGGATCTTGAAAGAATAATATAAAGATGTAAAACAATTATCAACCACCCTTAAAACCGTACTGGTCGTGTATTTATAATAGGAGGTGTTTATGCAGTATATGTCAGATAAACTCTTGAAACACGCAAACTAGAGTTTCTCGAAAAATACCATCACTCAAGAGCTGGCTAGTGACAGGCGAGCGACAGGAGCATCGCTCGAGTGAGAGCCAGTCGACAGTAATTCTGCTTTGGACGTTCGAGCATCAGCTGGGCCATAGGCTAGAGTAAATCCGACATCTCTTTATCATTATTCCATACTCGAAACTAAAGACTCCTAGTTCATCTATACAACCATTCAAAAGACTTATTGACTTTTAAAACTCTTTTGTAGCCATTTTATTCTTTTACAATAATCTTTTTTGTCTAAAAATTTGTCAATACAACTAAAAACCTAACAATCTCCCCCTTTAACATTTTGTGACAAAACTATACAACATAAGTTAAGGATGCAAAAACAAAATTAATCTACCTAAAATCAAACTGAATGCCTATCTCTTGCATTTTTTTAAAACATGTTTCTTGAAATCAACAACTCAAATATCAACTGTAAAAGCATGTGATACAGCTATAAATATGCTAGCTAGATTGAGAAGTAATACTAATGTTAATCAAAATACCAACTAAAATAGTAATTTCACAAAACATCAAAACTAAAAAAATCTAAGCATTAAAAAAATAAAATTATCTCACACTTACTGCAAACTTTCTAAAATTAAAATCAAAATTAAATGCCTATTTTCTCCCACCTTTTTGTCACAAATGACGAAGGTTTTAAAGTACTGAATAATATACAATAATTCAAATATGCAGTCAGTCGATAGCAAGCACATAATCAATGATCAGTAAACTTTCCCACATACTCGGTTCAAGTCTAAATGGAGTAAATTGTATAAGTGACTTATGTGTGTTAAGTGCCATTAATTTCTTGTGATCAAGACTCAAACCTTAAATTTGTGAGAAATGACATACTAAACATCGCTGTTAAATAAGTGTATTCCCATGTTAATGAAAATCAAATCAATAATGCATATTAGGATCTATAAAGCTCATTTTCCATGTATATTATTCTTTTCTCCCCCTAACTTTGAGTGTGTATATATATATATATATATATATATATATTATTATTATTTTTTTTCACACAATTTATATATATTTCTTTTTAAGCTCATTATTTTTCTTTTCAATTTTTTACATCTTATGTGCAGACTCTTCTCCATTAAACGACTAAGATGACACATGTAACAAGTTTTGGGTCGATAACTCTAAGTCAATTGACCATAGGACATCAGATTATAAGAAATCCCTCAAACTTAATTACTCTAGTCAAATAGGCTTTGAAAAAGAGTATAAGATGAAATATTTTTATTTTCTTTAAAAGGGTATACTAGAGTTTAGGTCTACTAAATTAAAGTCAATCCATATTCAAGGTCATCTTACTAATGGATGATAGCCATCCCAAATTTTAGACATTATCGCAACGAATTTTGTGGAAGAATTTCCAAAATGACCTAGTCAAATGGCTTATTT